TTTTTCTTTTTTCAATATGATAAAAAAAGATGAATGATTCAAATTAAAAGAAAATGGATTTATGTTAATATCTTAATTATCTTATCCGCGTTTGAAATAAAAATTTAAATAGAGGCTTGAGATTATTTGAGACTGTGTGTGATATTGTAAAGCGAGGAGAGGACGGGGGGGGGAGGGGGAGAGAATGAAATTTTGAATTACTTAGGCCCAGTTGCACCAATATTATTTTGGCTTTTGCTTTTGTATCCACTTTCAAGTTTTAAGTCTCACTTAAAGCCAAAATAACATTAGTACAACCGCATCCAAGTAATTTAAAATTGTATTTCCCTCCCCCCCCTTTCCTCCTTGCTTTATAATATCGTATAATCTCAAATAATCCCATGCATCAATTTAAATTTTTGTTGTCATTGCAATCGAGTTAAAGACGCGGCCGCAAGATCTTAATTTCATTGCAAAATAAAATTTAATTCGAGTTTAATTTTTGTTTTATACTTGTAAATGTTTTATTAATTTAAGAAAAATATTTTAAATTATTTATTTTACTTGTACACTTGCACATAATGTGTAAAAAAAGATATTGGCTCATTATAGAAATAAAAGTGAAGCCTTAAAAACATTTATCACTTTACTAATAGTTGGAAGAAATAGTTTCAGATTTATTTATTGATTGCATAAGTTTATTATCTCGTAAAAAAATAATACATAAATTTTTTTTATGCATTTGCATACAACAGGAGTGGCTAAATCTACTGTTTCGTCGAGCTCTTCAACAAAGAATGCTGATTCAGAATCTAACACAGCAAATGCGACAACTGCTGAGCTAACGAAAAACATAATACATCCAAATGAAACTTCTGCTACCATTTCAAATTTGAACACAACAGAAACTGCTATTGTTTCAAATTCGAATACAGCAGAAACAACTACTGCTATACCCAATACTACTATTTCTACATCTACTACAACTACTACAACTACTACAACTACTACTCTTAAACCTACTACAACCACAACTAAAACTACAACTACACCTGTACCTACATCTCCACCTACACCTTTGCCTACATCTCCACCTACACCTATACCTACACCTACACCTGCACCTGCACCTGCACCAACATCAACATCTTCAACGGCAACACCTACTACAGCTGCAGCAAAGACAACAGCTGTACCACCGTCTTCTAAGGATCGTCAATTTGATGGTCTAAGCTTCTTTGGTACGTATGAAATATTATTCTTTTAATTATTTCATTGATTAATGATAAAGTGATAAAATGAAATACAAATCTCCCACGGAAATTTTATTAAAGAAATCAGAATAGTATTTTATGTATACAAAATATTCAGATAATTCTTATAAATTCCTTTGCTACTCTTGTTTATTAATGTGACAAAAATTTGTTATTAGATATTGGGAAACAATTATGTACATCTTTTGTTGCAGGTGGTATTACCCTTACTATTTGTCTCATGGCGATTGCCGCGTTCTCGTGGAAGTTCTACAGGCAATGCAAGGAAGGGAATTACCGTACTCTGTGATAACGTGCAAGGCTATAACGAATTTTCGACAATTAATCGCAGTTAATCGAACTTATAAGAACTTGAATAATTATTTTATTGTAATAATATTGCGTATTTTTATAACACAGTTAAGTGTTACGTGGCTTAAGTGCTCTTAGTAATGTGATGTTCAACCACGAGTTTCGTTTTTCTCGATATATATATATACATGTAACATGAGGGGAAGGGAGGGGGGGAGGAGGGATTAAACATTCATGTGTATTGAAAACAAACGTCGTTGTATTTATATGCGCGTTTTATTAATAGATGAGAGATTGTAACAAGCTGCGTGTTGTCCAGGTAGGAGAATAGAGCGATAGAAATCGGGTGGAGAAGAGGGGAAGGGAAGGGAGGGAGTGGGCGCATTAAACGAATGAGAGCTAATGATCAATCAAACGTACATTCCACGAGAGAGAAAAAGATGGAGATTGTAGATCTCTGAGAGCGCATTGTCCCACTTCTTATTAGCTTTCGCTCTTACTCTGTGCAACTGTCAGCAAACTATATCTTTAATGCTATGATGTATACATTCTGCGGTAAAGTTACGTAAGATCTGACTTTTCTACGAGATAGAAGAGAGAGAGAGAGAGAGAGAGAAGAGAAAGTACTCGAACTAAAAAAATACTTAGCTCGATACGAGTATCTTAGCGAAGGAAAAATTTCTGTTAAATTGAAACGAACTTCGCAGACGTCCCGCAATTTAGATTATCGATACGTTGACGCATCCATAGTGCGCTGTATAATATGCCGAGTTGAAGTCGAATCTATATCGAGTCTATTATCATGGATGTCGATAGCCGATAGAGTTACATGTACGTCTGCTATTAAATCTGTTCTTCGGTATGCGATTAATGTCTCTTCGATAGCCGGTTTCGCTGTAGGATACTTTTTGGAAAGATCTGATCAACGCGTGAATAATCGCACAAACATTTAATCAAAGTGAACATTCTTTTTCTTTTCTATGAGATTCTGCCCTTTTTTTTTTATTATTATGAATATCATCAGCTTAGTGTTTCTTGGACTTGCGTTGTGTATGGTACAACATACGCATTTTTTTTTATTAGATGATTTTGCGTTATTTCTGAACGTGCTAATATATTTACGATTACTTACGCGTTGCAATCATAACCGACGATCATAAAATTTTGTCATAAAATTTTCGTTAAACTTTTTAAACTGCTTATTTGTCGAATAAAAAGCCTAAGTATTGAATAGTTCCTTTCTCACACATTCGCCTAAAAAACGAAATCAAATGGTAAAAAGTCGATTGGAAAACGTTTCTCGCGGATATCTTTTTTTTTTTTTTTTAGTTACTAATGAGTTGCGCGGATTATAAATTTATGTTTTTCTAATAGCAAGTATTGTGAAATATCTTAGATAGCACAGTATCATATTAAATAATCTCAAGCGATATTCTAAGTTAAGTCACATTTATTATAAAAAGAAAGAAGCAGAAAGATTATATATGTCACGTTTCGCAATATCTAATCTCTTTCAATTTGCCTTAGGTTACATTGAGAACCCTAAGATGTAACCACTGCGTTGATGTTTCTCGTGAAGTCCGATCCTCCTGACATGATCCTCTTGTGATAGTACGTCACAAGGTCATTATTGTAACAGACGCTTCGGTTACGCGACATTTATGTCTCATCTCATTGAGAAAGATTTAAAGAAAAAAAAAGAAGAAAAGATGAGCTTTCGAAAACGAGAAAACGTCTTCCCCTTTTATAACGGCAACGAAAACACGCGTGTCGAACGACGAATAATTTCTCTGCAATTTCTCTGCAAAGTGACGTCAGAAGTGTCTCTCGACGGCGTCGATGATGCGCGAAGCGCTCTTACCTCGTTCGTCAATATCGCGAAAATAATCAATCGCCGCTGGCCGCCGCGTCTCGTTATTGGCATCACCACCGGAGCCCGGTGCCCGGCGCGATTTCAAATGCGGGAATTTAACCCCGTCCCAGAGGGGGGGGGGGGTATTGATCGCGCATCGCGCCGTTGTTGCACGTACTTGACACACATATTTCCCCCCTTAAAACTAATATGCAGCTCGGGGAGAACCCGTGACTCTAATTGTTGCTCCACGCGCCGGGAGAGGAAAAATCCATTATGCCGCACGAAGGTGCAAAAGGGGGGAAAAGGAAACGCCGGCGTCGAGGGAAAGGTGAGGTAACGAAGAAAATCAGCTATCGGTTATTGCAAATAAGAATTTGCACTTCACAGAGAGGCGTGGGGGGCGGGGGGGGAGGGGAGGATCCCGCAGTTTCGTCGCAGGCTGCGACGAGAGATACCCGATGCAACGAACACGGCGCAGGACGAAGTCGTGATATTGCGAAGTCGATAAACTTGCTTGGCTTGGCAAGCTGCAATCGGTTATTCGACGCTGGGGATTCCTTCGAGTGTCTTCCGAGAAAACGAATGCAGGACATTCCGTTATCTCGCATCCATTCCGGATAATTTCTCGCTGTAACAGTTCTTACAGTGGAGCACACATAAGTTACACACAGGGAGGAAAATGTTTATAATTCCCGGAGAGCTAGCAATTATTCGGAATTACTGTAATCCGATATCTGAAGTAGTTTGTCTTAAAAAGAAGAGAGAGAGAGAGAGAGAAATCCGTTTTATTTTCACGAAAATGACCGCACATGGAATATAAATATAATGAAATTATAATCAGCCTGCAATGTGTAGTAAAATATTATATTTCAACTATATCATATATAAAATATAATCAGACTATGATGCACGATAAAATATTACAGATTGATATATATTTAAATATCAGCTTGCGATATAAATAAACGTGACATACGAACGGATTGTATCGCGGACGCAGAAACATTATATTTTTCCAGTTTACGAGCGACGAATTATGTCGGACTTTGTCCGAAGTCCACATATGCCTTTTTTATTCTACGCGTTTCATTTTGCTCGTGTTGAGCGTGCGAGTGTTGCGGCGTAACGTTCCCAGAGAGGAGGGATGATACGTGGAAAAGCAGATAAGAAAAACACGCGTGCGAGAAAAGAGAACGCGCCGAGGCGAGCATGACGTAATGGAGAAGAAAAAGTAAGAAAAAAAAAAACCGCCACTTTGACATCGCCATATCGCCTTTCGTGTGAATCGTCCGATGAAAACATATGCTACAAGTCGTTTTAAAATCTTTTGTAGGAGTAAAGAATATTTTCGATTATTAAAAATGATGAGAGAACTTTTTTCGAGGAAGCTGAGATAAGCTGAGAAGCTTCTTTAGGGTGGGTATTTAGTTTTTTTTTTTTTTTTTTTTTTTCGTAGAAATCGATCCTAGATTTATATCGATTTGGATAACTAAATAATAATAATAATAAATTCTGAAATGTAATCACTACGAATTAAACGTGAAATTTATCAAGATTTGTAATTAAATTTTTTCAAACACAATTTTTGAGAGATTGTCTTGATATTAAAAGAATTAAGGAACTGTGAAATTTTGTATAACATTTCTGTATAACTGACGAATCCTAAGATGGATTCACTACTAATTAAACATGAAATTTATAAAAATTTGCAATTACATTTTCCAACATAATTGCAGTTTTTAAAGATTGCCGATACCATGACATTTTTAATTCTAAAACTAAAGATACATTTTCTTCTCCTTATACGCGATTATATTGCAAAATGGATCATTCCAAACAGAAATTTTTATATTTTTCCATCGTAGATTACATAATTTCCTTAATCGTTATTTATGCAAATCCACATATTTTTTTTTTAAAGCGTATAGTCGATAAGCCCCACCCTGTAATAACTCGCTGACGTATGGCGATCGGCGATCGCGAAAACGGAAAAAGAATAAGCTCGCTAGAGCGTGATACGCCCTTATTCCTTTCACCGTGAGCCTGCTCTCTGCGGCCGCTATTTATACGTCGGTAGAAATTCTCCGGATATCAACGCGGAAGCATTACGTATTACCGCGCGATTACGAGCTGCGGACGATAAAACGTGCTGCGGAGTTGCGGGCGAACGCCGCTCTATCGGCGCAAAAGAGCGATACAAACATTTAACAGCGCGCGGTCTTTTATCGGAAACAAGGTTCTGAAAACAAAGTTCGCGTACCCCGTTTCTCACGAAAAAAGGAAAAAAAAAAAACAAAAAGAAAAAATACGGCACAAATCATCTCTAAACGTTTTTGTTTTCGGAATGCATTGTAAAAAGAAGTGCGTAAAATTGCACAAACAACCCATGTACAAGTCATACACTTCTTACCACGGAAATATACTGTAAACCGTGTAATTTTACACTTGTTGTTCGTTTAATTTCACTCTTTTTACGATGCCTTACTTCAACATACACTGTGAAAAGATACGTGAAATTATAACGTGAACAGAAAGTCACGCGACTTATAATGGAAATATCATCTTGTGTGCGTGTGCGTGTGTGTGTGTGTGTGTGTGTGTGTGTGTGTGTGTGTGTGTGTGTGTGTGTGTGTGTGTGTGTATGTGCGAGAGGGCCGCGAGAGGAGACGTACGGAGAGACGGAGAGACAGCCGATCGATAAGCACCGAAAAGCGGAGCGGAAAGAGCGGCGGCACGAGTCCGGCCGGAGCGCGGTCCTGGAGAATCGCGCGGCGATGCTGCGTGGTGGTGCGTGATCCCGCCGGTCGCCCCGAGACGACGCGACGCGACGACGTATCGCCCGATCGCTTTCACGCGATGCACGCGCGCACGCGTGCGTGTCCACGCACAGGCGGGACGGTGCGGCGCGACCTTCGTGCTTCGTAAAACACGCCTCGAAGGGCGCCCGGATCCTCCGTACGTCGGACGTTTATTTCCCCGTGCCCGGGGTGGAAGGTATCGCGAGTCTCCTCCCCCCTCCCCCGCCCCCCCTCCCTCTCGTCCGGTACCGCCACGAAAAATCGAGATGGTCCCTCCGAGAGATTTTTTTTTCGTGTGGCGGCCGTGTGAATGTGAAGTGCGATTCCCGAGATATTCCTCCGGAGTCTCCTCGGGCATCTCTCCGGATGCCCGATCGACCGAGGGTGATGCAAATGCACGGTACAAATTCGGCCGAAATTCTTAAACGCAGTAAAACCCGTTCGATACCGTCGCGAGTGATCTCGCGAGTGCGAGGATAGACCTCACTAGTTTGTGCTTTTTTTTTTTCCTTCGGTGTATTTCCGAAAAAATATTTTACGAGGAGAATTTGCTATACAAAATTTATTACACAGGCGGCTCTTGCCGACGTGGTCTCGTGTGAAGGAATACATCGTTTCGGTACGGTGAAAACTTTGGATGGTGATATGGGGCGAGGAGGGCTGTTCCAACGAAAGTACGTGGTAACATGGCACTTGATGCGATATATTAATCACTTTGTAGGGTGCTAATTGCCGAAACCTCGAGTCCGTATATCTACATATCGTATCACCTCTGCGTAGCGTAACTCTTTTAACTTCATAAAATTAAAGTAAAATAAATTTTTAATAAGCATCATCTCTAATTGCCTAAATAATAAATTAACTAAACAATAAATTAATAAATAACAAATATATTCAATAAATTAATTTTTTCACAAAAGGTCTTGTATTTCTAAAAATACAAATACAAAAGATCTTGTATTTCTAAAAATAATAATAATATTTAAATAAAAGAATATAAGGCCCATGCGCAGAATTCGGTCGGCATTCGAATGGGATTTTATATCAACTACAATAATATTCATGTCATAAAAAATACTCTGTATTTATTGCTGAAAACAAAATTGTAAAAGATATCTGAGAGGGAGAAATTAAATCATATGATTTTTCTTCCTTTCTTGTCAATAATTCCTTTCTAATGACTATAACGATAACTTCAAAGACAACTGAGATATAATTAAAATATATTTCATATGCCTTATATTACATAATAAAATAAAGACAAAAAAATATTATATACATTAAATAAAGAATATTAAATATATTATGTACACAATAAATAATGTGTTAAATATATATAATATATATGTATATATAAATAAAAAATGATTATTACCGATCGCGTTACAACGTCCGTTACAATAGTCGTGAACATATTTTCAATCATAATAATTGTTCCTATTGATATTTCCTATTGATTTCAATATCGGTCATTAATTTAATTATCCGATTAAATTGCCTATTTAATTGCTAACAGCGTTCTGTTTTATCTTTTGCCTTGAACTGTTACAACGAGGGGAACGAGTGACACGTGTCTTGCACTCAATCAGAGAAACGTAGACACGTGCGAGAAATCATCACGATCAAGAATGCGACTAAAAAATCTTAGTGATCATTCGTATCGCCAATA